ATGATATTAGTGTTGTGGCTGCTTTTGATTATCAGGAAAGCTTCGAACAAAATATAAGAATGGATAAAATTCTTGGTGTCATCGCTGTAGTTGGTCAAGCTTCAAGAAATTTTGACCCATTAATCACTAATATCATAGAATTAGTTAAAAGTATTCTTGATGTATACGAAAATGTTCAGTTTAATAAGAAAATTTGTGATTGTTTAATTGATAGGGTCGAGTCTGTTGAGATGGCTATCAAGTCATTGAAACGGCATAAAGATGAAGATGCAAGGTATTTCTTTAAACAATCCAACTATAATGCCTTTCAACAACTTATCGTTGTTCTCGAAAAGATACAGCAATATATAACGGATGAGAACAATAAAGGATTTATTAGGGAAACTCTCTTTATTTATTATATTTTAGGGAATGTCTATTTCCACCATGGAAATTTTAATACGTATTTCCATCATCGGCGTAATTTACGTATTATGACGATAATATTTGTCATTTGTATATAACTGTAAGTCATGTGAAAGGCATAGTAAAAATAGGCGTTTCCATATTTTATACATAGTTACTTACAAAAAGGTACAGTATGAATCAGAAAGTCTTTAATTTTTACTACGTATTTAACATTTCCTAATTTCTTTTGATTTCCACCTTTTTTGAAAAGCAGTAGTAAATAAATAATAAGTAATTCTATTCCATTTTTTCGTCATCACACCTTTACTAGAGACGACATACTACTAATTTTGATACCTTACTAGTGTGTTAGGCCCGTCGTTAAGTTAAACCGCTATTCAATGAAAAGATTCAACTCGTTATTCAATGTCATTATTATTCAATAAAAATATTCGACTCGTTATTCAATGAATATATTCTATCCGTCATTCTATAAAACTTTATGCATTACACCAATATGCCTATCGGTTACACAAATATTCAATGGTCGTCGACATTCATAGATTTTAATAACGATAAATGTCATCCGAAACCTTTTTTGACAAATCCGAGAGTTTCAGGTTTTATTAAAAATCTATATCTGAATTTAAAATGAGCTTTTTTTTTTTTTTAACTGAATGAAATTTTAGGACTCATCGGAGGTGAAATTCACTGGGTACGTTTCTCACAAATAAACTTTGACAGGTGTAAAAATATTCAGCACTAAAAAAACCTCTATTTTAATTTAAGTCTTACAGTAAACCCTAATCTAAAGTTTAAAATTTA